AAAAAAAAACAGAAAGAGATATCTGTGGTTTTGACCAGAGGCAAAAACATTGCAAAATGGCAATGACATCTACATTTGATATAAAGTTGGAAAAGTAGTAAGTATGTAAACAATTCCGCACTGAGCAAAACAGTAGATAACTCTATTTCATGAATGTATGAAAAAGTGAGAAAGTATATAATAGTTTCCCCCATAGTGTCTCTTTTATATCAATTGGTTTGTTTCTTTGTGTGATCTCCCCTATCATGCATTTTGAATTTTCTTTATAACTTTCCTTTGGTCTGAACATTGTTGTTTGGCTCACTTAGTGAATTGAGCTGCATTTCATGGATGTCAGGTTTTCTGCTATTGGTTAATTAATTGTCCTTCAAAGAAGAAATTCTCAAATCCATCTATAAAATGGGTTTCTTCCAAAGAGGTATTGTTTGGGAACCTTTGGCACAGCACCTATAAGCTTCTAGAATGTGAGCCCAATGCATTGTGGCTTCTTCTAGAAAATTGAAAAGACTGTAAAATATTAATCTATTCAAAGTGACAAATGCATAGTTATTAAGCTTCTTCCAGTAAACAATTGTCTACCTGCACTCTTCAATATCTGGGTGAGAATATCTAATGGGACAGGTTCTTCATTCTGGATGGCCTTCCGCCTTTGTGAGATACACTCCTTTCCAGTGTGACGCAGCAAACGGAGACTTTCACGAACCTCCTGTATCTCTTTTCTATTCCTTGGCAGATACTAAGCAAATAACAAAAATCATCGTAAGAAGGAGGGCATTCTTTAACATTATTATTAAGAGGCTGTCAGCATGAATTGTGATTGATGAAGTCTAAATACATGGTTCAATTCTATTTAAGGAAAAACAGACCACAATTCCTACAAAACATTATCTAGTCAGAAGTAGTGCCTACATTACAGAACTTTATAAATACATCATTTTAATACAGGTTAGGGATTTGTAGATCAGGACACATAAATGCTTCTGTACACAATTTTCTACATGCTTATTTTCCCATTCTTTGCTTCTTATTAGGTATGTCCAAAACATTCAACGTGCAAACTATTTTGTGCATACATCAGGTATTTCTAGGTAGTCCTGCCTGGACCAATCATACATAGTTAATTCAGATACATTTCCAGTCCAGCCTGATCCTCATTATACAAAAACTTAGGTCTCTCAAGAAGGCTATAAAACTGGGAAAAGAAAAGGGAAATAAAGGAGGATCTGCATCAAAGTAAATACTCAATTGCAGTGCCGAAGAACTGAACACCATTGGAAGAAATAGTTAGTGAATGTATGAAAAAGTTAGAAAGTATATAATAGTTTTATATTATATCAAATGTTTATGAGGATCTTATAAATTAGTTAATAAAGACCTTCAATTTTTAAACTAGTTGAAAGACTAACTTAGGAACATCATCACAGAGAAAATATTTCTATATGATCGTTAAGAATCAGCAAGGACTTGATAGGACATCAATCAGACCCCAGTTCAACCCAAAAAACTGGCCAAATTTTTGAGCTACAATGTGTTTGTTGCTAGAATAAAACTTATTTCTTAGTTTGTGAACTCTCTTCACATTATGCTATAACTGCATCTCTTGAAGTTCTGATATCATATCCTCTCCTACTCCATAAATACAAAAAGACACACTTACAGTAACAGTATAACAGAATTGGAAGGGACCTTTGAGATCTTCTAGTCCAACCCCCTGCTCAAGCAGAAGAGGATATACCGTTCTGGACAAATGGCTGTTCAATTTCTTCTTAAAAATCTCCAGTGATGGAGCAACCACAACTTCTGGAGGCAAGCCGTTCCATTGATTAATAGTTCTCACTGTGAGGAAATTTCTCCTTAGTTCTAGGTTGGATTTCTCTTTGATAAGTCTCCAAACATTACTTCTTGCCTGGCCCTCGGGGACTTTGGAGAATAGGTTAATTCCCTCTGTGGCAGTCCCTGAAATATTGGAAGACTGCTATTTTTAATTATATACCTTCAATCATGAACTTAACAAGTTTTGTTTTCCAGTTTTAGTACAGTGCAGCTAGCCTGATTTCTTCAAGGCAGCATCCTCCCTCTAGCCACAAAGCCAATACTAGGTGTTAACAAGACTGGTAATATAATTGCATAGAGTATCATCTTCACCACTCAGCAAGGAACAGATGAAAACAACCTGCTCTAGCAAACCAGAGAACAATATTTCTTGGCTACCATTGATGGAATTTCTGATTGGAGACTTATGGTGTTTGCATTATGGACAAGTAAAGGCCAAAATATTGAGTGAAGGCCACATCTACATTTGACCAACAACAGGACAGCTTTGAAAAGGAGAAAAGTCTGTACTGACCTGGAAAAATGGATTTCGTTCCTTGCTCAACCCCTTCATGACCATGGTAAACGCATGAGGAAAAGGTGTTTGGTCCGAGTGTAGAGTGTTTAGTTCCAGGCCAAATGCCACCTGATAATATTGAGAAAAATGAGCAGGATAAGACATCTTTATTTATAGTTGCTTGCTTCTAGACAGCAATAGCTCAATATAGTAATATCAAACTCTGCAACTAAACAAAGGATACAGAAAAACAAGCTCTATGTATAATATGGCATGGATTTTTGTAAATAGTGCCTACCTTACCAGATGCTAGCTATCTTTAACCAATTGCAAAGCCACACTCAGATAAAACTACCTAGTGAAGTAAAACATGAATCTTCCCCAGCTCTTTGTTTTTTTGTGAAACATATTATCACAAAGCCCTTTTGATTCTCACCATGTATTGACAATCTGCATTAGAGATTTTTTCTTATTTTACTGGGAAAAAGAAATTCATTTGCCTTTGCAATGATGTCCAGGGTCAACCGTCTGAGCAGGTTCATCATATCCACTTCAATCTCTCCATCTGCTTTTTCATTCAGCACTTTCATGAGGTCTTCTGCTTGGTCATTAAAAATCTCCATCAAACCAATCAAGTAACTGTGCAATGAAAGATACATTGCTTTCAAAACAGCTTTTTCTTGGGTACAAAAAGATAGATTTATAAATCAAGTCAAGAGAGACACTAAAGTACAACCCATTAGAAAAAATGTATACTATAATTACATATATACTCCAAAGGTGTTTTTTTCAAGAGGCAACTGGACTTTTTGGTTTTTCTTTGAAGACGTTTTGAAGAGCTGAAGAAGCTTCTTGGATTAGAAGTGAAACGTTTTCAAAGAAAAACCAGAAAGTCCAGTTGCCTCTTTAAAAAAATCACCTTTGGGACAACCATGACCTGGATGACTGAGAATCTCCACAGACACATATATTCCAATTTTATTTAATGAAGGACACAAGGATGTCCTTGTATCCATTAAATAAATAAACTAATAAAAGAATATCTCCCACCTTATTTACCCTCCTACATCATTTATGTATTCTGAATATTCACATAGATTTAAACATCATACAGGAGCAGAGGAATACAGCATGAGAATAAAAGAAATTTCATTGCATAACAAGATTTATGTACAGTGGTTAATTCTATTTGAAATGACATCTCTTAAAAAATATAAATCTATTCCAAGAATTCCCCCCTTACTTTCGACTGAATGCTGGATCCATAATTCTTCGCTGTTTGTGCCAATGATTATAATCAAGATCGGTTGCCAAGCCATTCCCTAAAAATCTGAAAAAGGAGAGGGAACAAAAATCTTGTACACAGTACTTTTCAGCCAGTTTCAATAACCTATTCTGCCCACAAAAATCAAGTTTGGGGAAAAATGGTATGCCAAGGAGTTTAATTTCCTTCTTACATGCTGTTTCCTTTCACCATAATCTGGCAAACTAATCTTAACATTAACTGGAAACCATAGTAATTAAACATCTCTTAATAATTGCAATTTGCAGTAGTGGATGTCAATGGAAATAATAATTTAATTAACTTGTATGCTGCTCAACTCTTAATGACCAAGGGTAGCTCACAACAATCAATCAAAGAAATTACAATAACATTAATAAACAAAGACAAAATATCTTTATCTCAATTTATTTCATTTCAAGTCAGGAATAGAACAAATCTTGATGAAAAATACATGCTAAAAGTTTCAGTGAAAAATAAGAGGTGCGTTCATTTTACTGAGTCAACAGAAATTATCTCACAACTATGAAAATCTTCTATAGTGCCTTACTGATCTAATATTTAGAGGCCTTAGACTGCCTCCTGAGGGCCTTAGTTTTACCTTATTGTTGGGTGAAATTTGCCAGGTAAACCAGCACTTCAGAGTTTATTTTTCATCAATATACTGTACTACACTAATTCACATTGAGATTGGATAGTAATTCTGATTTAAATAATTTTCATAAAAGACTTTTGCTGTAGATGAAATATACTGTATTTACAGAGCAATTTTGGGAATTAGAAGGTTTTCCTGATCAACCATTAATGCATTTTAATATGTCATATATAATTTTGCTTTAGCTTACCTTACACCAAATATACTGTAAAGTCGGCCATATATCCTTGGATCCTTTGAATACTGTGGTGACATCAGATATTCCTAAAATTAAATTCCTCTGATCAGTCCATTACTGAGTATGTTTAATGTTGTCATATTAATCTTTACAATAAATTTTTGGAGAGTATTTATAAGAGTTTAACTAGAACTTTTGTTGTCTTAGTTTTGGATACAGTATTAATATATTAACAACCCCATAATCCCTTGCGGGGTGGAGTCTAGGCAGCAGAATGGAGCTAACACAGTGTTTACTGGCTGGATGCCCTTCCTGTAGCCAACGTAGAGTTTTGTTCAGCAGATATATTCTCATTGTGCCTAGCGAGAGAAATATTTGCCTCTACCTAGGATTGAACTCACAGTCTTCCTCATGTACCCTCCCCAACCAGTGCCTCTCATGCACCCCTTTGCACTCACCTTGGCCCTCTCCACACTTCCCTCGCACTTTCCCTGACCCAGACTCACAAACCCTGTGCCTCTCGTGCACCCTCACAGACTGCCCTCCATCCTCCTCAACCTTTTTGGTCTCTCCCTTACACCATTGAACAGCCTCCCTCACCAGCACTGCCTTTTGTACATGCCTTACACCCTCACGTACCTCTCTGACCCTCACTACATCTTTCCTGAATCTCATGCCCTTGCTCCACCTCCCAAACTATAGTACATCTCTTGCACACTCTATGGCACTCTCACTTACTGACTTTGATTGTGAGAAGCTGGCAGGAATTTGCCTCACCTAACATGGGATTCAATTAAGAGTGACAACCCTGACTGCAGAGTTCTCATGTCATATCAGTTTTGAAGCAAACAGCAAAAGAATACTCAACTTTTACATACCTTCACTCCTTCAGGACTTAATATTAGTAATGAGACTCTATGAAAAGCATTAAAACGTATAACTGGTCCATATTTCTCAGCCCTATGAATACAAAAAAGGTTAGTGTCAGGATTTTGGCAGTTACCCCAATTAAATCATGAGCCTTGAGCCAAACTTCCAAAACTTCAAAAGGATTTATCAGGAGTTAACATGCCCCCTCCCTTTCTGTTGGCAACTCTAAAAAGCCCATAGAAATATTTTATGAGTTGATAGTTAGCTCAACATCACATCACAGGTGTTGCTTCTTTAAGGATAATTTCTAGTATTCAATTTTTTTATTAGTACAGGAAGTCCTCGACTTACAACTACAACCAAGCCCAAAATGTCTATCGTTAAGCAATACAGTTAAGTGAATTTTGCCACATTTTACAACCTTTCTTGATACAATTGTTAACTGAATCACTACAGTGGTTAATTTAGTAATACGGTTGTTAAGTGAATGTGGCTTCCCCATTGACTTTGCTTGTCAGAAGGTCACAGAGGTAATCACATGACCTTAGGACACTGTCAGGATTCTGGCAGTTACTCCAATTAAATCATAAACCAAGTCTGAGGGGCTTTCGTGAGCATAAGCTTCCATATCCGCAATCAATTTAATTTTGTGTGTGTTGTACAGGTCACCTTCAAGAAGTGAGGGGAGCCACCCTTCTGGGTGTATCATCCAATGAAAAACGTCCATAGTCAAGAGTCATCAATCGTGCTCTCCAATTAGATTTTTGCATGGCAGAAGCTTCAGTCATCTAATCAGTCTTTGAAGAAAATATGAATGGAATGTACTTTCGAGTCCACACTGCTGTCTGCTCTTTGAAACTCCCGCCCCTTTCTTTCTGTTGTCAACTATAACACGTATATACAAAATGTTTTATGAGTTGACAAACACTGCAACTGTCATAAATATAAGTAGCCAAGTGTCTGAATGTTGATCACATGATCATGGGGATGCTGCAATGGTTGTGTGAAAAACGATCATAAATCACTTTTTTTCAGGGCCATTGTAACTTCAAACGGTCACTAAACGAATTGTTGTAAGTTGAGGACTACCTGTATTCCATTTTATGTTATGTTTTTTTCTAAAGTACTATTTTTATAAATTTAGGTTTAAATGTATATTAAATTTATATTATATCAAATTAAATTAGGTGAAAAAATTCAGATGGAGGCTTAGAACTCAAAATAAAGGCAACTGAGATCTATGAAGAAGCAGCATAGATCTCAATTACTATAATTCAAAATAACTACTTTCAAGCTACGTGATTTTTCAAGAAACTTACCACTTCAGAAAGAGATCATGCATCAGTTCCTTGTTTTCCAACGTTCTCCAGAAGATTGGCAAGTGACCAAAGAAAAAACTGTAATATTTGAAAAAAAAAAAGCCAGAGATTTAAATGTGCACATAACAATCCAAAAAGAAAATATCACAAATGAAGGGAGGACAGAATGGAGATTGCCATTGAGTTCCATAAGGCTATTTCACAGTAAAATGCATAACAAGGGAGGTATAGTACAATTTTTTTCCACAGAAAAAGATGGAACTGCAAGCAAGCAGATTTACATGGGGAGGAACCCCAGGAAAAAGAATGAAGAAAAATGCAAACAATAAAGCCCACGTTAGAACAAATGAAGATGCATGCTATCCCCAGAAGTCAAGAAAGAATACAACAAATGGGTTCTGCCACCAGACAATGGTATTTAATAGGTAACCAGATTTGCTAAAGAAACAGATTCAAATCAGTTCCTAAAATATGCTGCTTTTGAATCACTTCATAGTCTCATGATACAAATTGGCTCTTGCTTTATGGATGATCAGTTCCAGCTCCAGCAAATTCCTTGCTGCTTGAATTTAAAAAGAACACTCATCTACTAGATTTGTCTGGAGAAGTCCATGCCATGGTGTTTTAAACTAAGAACCTACCATATGGATTATGGAAACTGTTTCTGACCAGAAGAGTAAAAGGCAAAAGAGAAACTTTTTTATCAGGAAAAAAAAATCCAGTGTGTTACAGTGAAAGCTTCCAAACAAAAAAAGGGATTAAAATAAGTATCGAACTCCAATTATCTTATTTCTCCTTAATGTATTTTCCTAATGCATCAGGAAAAATATAGAAGAATTAGTAGAAAAATACAAGAGACTTTCAAATGGAAAATATTGGTGTAGCATATATGAGCTATGGTATGGATGAAGCATGTTTCTTATAAGTCACAGTTGTTGGATTCAAATATCATACTATGCCACAGGGATTAGTTTACAAATTTCCAAGGACTAGACCAGACAAAAGCAAACAAATGTTTAGTGGATACTTTACTAGCCAAAGAACCTGTCTGATTTTCTCATGGAATGCATTGGGAACTCATGGCTTCATCTAACTGGAGCAGTGGGAGCGGGGAGAGACAATCATCCTTAAATACGAAATATAACCGCCACCAACCATAACGTGCTCCATCTATGCACAGACTCGGACCTGTAGACTTCATGGCTGAAAGATGTCAGAGTGTTTGGCAGCATGACCAGCTTTATGAGACAATCCAGGAGCAATACACAGCACACAGATAACAGATAATCAGAATTGGAAGGGACCTTGTAGGTCATCTAGTCCAACCCCCTGCACAAGTGGGAGACCCATCTGGATCTTGAGCCTATCTTCTTGGGTGTGAGCTATTCCTGCCAGCTTAGTATCATCTACAAATTTGGTAAGTTCCCCTTCTATTCCCTCATCTAAGTCATTAATGAAGATACTGAAGAGTACTGGGCCTAAGACAGAACCTTGTGACACCCCACTACTTACTTCCCTCCATGTAGACTTAGACCCATTAAGGGCTACCCATTGAGCATGGTTTGTCAGCCAGTTGGGAATCAGAGACTTAGACATTAACAGTGGTTTAATGTACAATATACATGTGGTAGCCAAATATCTTTACAAACAAGCTTTCTTCTTCCTAACACAAAGAATTTCTGTACTGAATACTGGCCACAAGGAAAGAGAACCGCACCCTCTAATGGCTGCCTTTTATACACACACCTCTTAAGGGAATCTTTACTCTCCAGTCTTAAAGGGAAATACCCATACTATGCTGAATCACTCGTTACATCAGCCTATATTATATCAGATTCACAGAATCTAGCAGCTATTTGCTGCTGGTCAGTTCTTAAATCTTAATACCTTAACAAAAGATGTGGCTTAAATTTTGCATTTTGTCCTAATCCCCAATCAGAACCCAAGAGTCAGCACAATTTAGTGGCATTGTTGTTGGTCCTGGTAAAAATATTTAAACATTCAGACATGCCGCGTCATACAAAATGAATTCCAGATAGAAAAAAATGACTTTACCTTTTTTCTATGCAGCAATTAAAAACTCAAGGAAGGAGTACTAAAAAAAATCAAAAAACCATTCAGAGGCTTCCAAGATAATTGAAATGGCATTCTATATATTTATTGTTTATTTGTTTTATTTTAGTTTTATTTCTATTTTATTTTTATTTTTTAGCTATTGGAAGGAGAAATGGACAATGTCTATTTCTTTGTTTTGGCGCTTAATTGTAATTTTGTGTATACATCTTCCAGTCAGTTTTTTACTCCTGGCAACTGAACAGTTTTCTTGGCACCAAACTGGCTCTGTTTTATGTCATAATATAAGACTAAAAATGATCATCCACAAAGCAAAAAGCAGAGTGAAGCAATCTGAAAAATATACTCTGATTTTGTACATAAATGAATACTTCTGCACATTTGATGCTGGGCTAAAATCTGCTAGCAGATGAATGTTGCTTATCAAAATGTGCAAAAGGAAAAAAAAGTGGGAGAAATGAGTGGGAGTGTGGAAATAGAGTAACTTTTCTGAATAACCCTGCAAGGGGCACTCATGCAGAGACTATAAAGATGCAGAGAGAAGTGATGCAGATGATCTTTCTTCTGGATTTTCAATAAAGGAGAATATTCCTGGCTCATGGTTGAAATGAGGGATCTTTGATGCTCTCTGAACTTGGTTGTTTTCTTGCAGATGTTTTATTCCCCAAACTAGATAGCATCATCAATGGTAGTGGCTAACATCACACTGCACTAGACTATAATAATAATAAAAAAATAACAGAATAATAGAGTTGGAGTCTGCAGAGATTCTTAATCATTCAGGTCATGGTTGTCCTGAAGGTGCTTTTTAGGAGGCAACTGGACTTCAGTGGGGTGTTTGTTTGTTTGTTTTTTGAAGATGTTTCGCTTCTCATCCAAGCAGCTCTGACTGGATGACTGAATCCTTCCATTCCCCACCATCCAGTCAGAGCTGAAGAAGCTTTTTGGATGAGGAGCGAAACATCTTCAAAGGGGGGGAAAAACAAGAAAGTCCAGTTGCTTCCTGAAAAAGCATCTTTGGGACAACACAGTCGGAAGGGACCTTCGAGGTCTTCTAGTCCAACCCCTTGCTCAGGCAGGAGACCCTCGAGTATACCCTTTCAGACAAGTGGCTGCCCAGACTCTTCTTAAAAGCCTCCAGTGATGGAGCACCCACAACTTCTGAAGGCAATCCGTTCCACTGTTTGGGTAATGAAATGTCTGCCAGAAAACAACCATGCTCAGAGAGCACCAAGGACTCCCTCTGGCTTTTCAGCTATCCACGTGACGGCAGTGCACAGCGCGCAACTCTTGAATTACGGCAGCCAACTGCGGGCTGACAGCCAGCCGATCCACCGGGGGAGGCGAGTCCGCCTTCCCGAACTCGTACACGGAGGAGCAAATTTCAAAGCCTTGAGGGAGGTTCGGGGGAGGTGGGCTGAGCGAGCATCAACCTTGCCGTCCGCAGCTGCTCTTACCTCGCCCTTGGGGCGCCGGGGATGTAATCGTACTTTACATGAACTACTTTAATGTAGCAACAGTAGAGGCCCAACATCAAAAACGGCACAGCCAGCAACAGTTGCCAAAAGCTCCACATCGCTTCCATAATAGACGGCGAAGGAGAATTGAGATAACACAGAGATAAACGCGCGCCGCTAGCTACTGTGCGACAGCTTGCTCCTCTTTCCCCGGTCGAGATCCTTATGTAACCGTCATGTGGTCGTAACGCCTAAAGGGGAGGCGTCAAAGTCAATCTCGTAGTCTGTCCTTTTAAAGTAGTATTACTCGACTTTAAGTTGTGTGGACTTCAATTCCCAGAATTCCGCAGCCGGTTAGGGCTGACTGAGGAATTCTGGAAGTTGAAGTCCACAGTCTTTTAAAGCTACTGAGGTTGCGAAAACACTGCTTTAAAACTCTCCGTGCCTGTTGTCGGCGTAGTCATTGGCCTGGCCCATTGGATGACATCATCGCAGCTGTCAAAATTACCGCTCCCGCATCACGTAGACCCGCTGAGTGCGGTCTAAAATCTTCCTGCGCTTTTTGTTCATTACGCGTCTCGGGGTTTTCGTATTTTACTGCAGCTACATAAACACCGACCACGCGAGCCTGCGCTCCAAAGGCGAGGGGTGGCAGAAGCTGCGGTGCAAATTCTGCACAGCCAGTTGCTGCTGATGCTGCTGATGATTATTAGGTTTGCGTTATTGTTTGTTAAGTTTTAGCATGGCTTGTGGCTCAATACTCTGGATCCACACGAGAAGGCTCGCATGCACTGTAGATATTGGCATGCCGATACATCCTTATTCATCCACTTACTGGAGGTTCTTAACCCCTAAATATCAATGAGAATCTTCAATTTATCTTCATACTTTGAATTAAATATTCAAATTTAGTCAAATATTCAAATGAATTCCGTGAAGGGTTTATTTCTTCTTGAGTATTCTTGCAAATAAATCATCCTTTTATCAACGCTGTGATTAGATGTATTAGAATAAAACAAAAGGAATAGTACCTTTTCAATTTTCAATGAAGCATCCTTGCCTGTTGTATCTTCTGGTAAAGCCCTCTCAAAATTGGGAAGGCACATTCAAGGAGCAAGGCTAATTCTGACTAATAAGATGACCGAAGAAAGTGGCTTAAGGTGATTGTACAATTCCAACAAATATAATTCTTTTCAAATGGGAAACATATACAGTGGATATAAAAAATCTACACACCACTATTAAAGTGCTAGTTTTTTGAGATGTAAAAAAAATCAGACCAAGATAAATCACTTCAGAATGTTTTACGCTTTTAATATAACATATTAGCTGCATAATTCAATTGAAAAACAAACTGAAATATTTGGGGGAGGGAAATAAAAACAAACAAACTAAAATCTTTGGGGGAGGGAAATTAAAAAAAAAACATAATTCAAAAGTATCTCTACCTATTTAGCAAAGGGGAAACGAAGTAAGGCAGCATATACCTGGATATTGTTTACACAACAGATGTTGGGTTCATGAGATGCACTCATACTGTAAACTATAATGTAATCTTTTTGTTAGTACATATCTATATCTATATCTATGAGGAGAATGGATGTTCTATAATTGCACCAGTTGTGTCTTCCCTGTAATTTGCCTAGAAGAGGCCTTCCCAGGTAACATGGGATGGCATAGCTGAAGATGGGGAGAATTGCCTAAAATCTGAGTTGTTTTAAGACTAATTCATAATTCTCTGCCTTGGTGGCGCAGTGGTTAGAATGCACCAATTACAGGCTAACTCTGCCCTCAGCCCAAAGTTTGATCTTGACAGGCTCAAGGTTGACTCAGCCTTCCATCCTTCTGAGGTCACTAAAATGAGGAGCCAGATTGTTGGGGGCAGTATGCTGACATTGTAAACCACCCACAGAGTGCTGTAAAGCAATATGGGGCAGTATATAAATCTAAGTGCTATTGCTATGGCTAATGCCTTAATCCACTTCATAAAACAGAAGTTACCCATCTCTCTCTTCCCCTAATGTCCACTGTTTATAAGACTGCCAGAAGAAACACTGTAACTATGAAGGGAAGATCCAAATCAACCTTCATTTAATGAATTTTATCTTCTCTTTATAACCAAACCATACTTTTAAAATAAATTATTGATAATTTACTCCCCTTTAAGGTTGATTTGGTTGAGTGCCTGTATGCATGAATCAACATAGAAACAATAGTGTAAACAAAATGGAAATAGCATCCTGCCTGCCAACTCTTTTTACATTGATCAGTATTCTTTCTTAGCCTTGATGATAGGGTCTACAAAGTGCACATAAGTATATGTGGGGGGGGAGGCATTTTACATTTTACAGGGCTGCCAAGTAAGCCATTGTGGTTTAATGGAGCTTCTGGGGGTCAGATGGCAAACTGAAGCTGGCTCTGTGAAAGAAGAGTTAACAACTGAAGCAAAAACCAGGGAACCAGTCAATGAATTTGTTCCTTGGAACTTTCCTGGATAAGAAGAGATCACCCACATATGCTCCTGATAACTGCTGCTTGTTAGACCATAGGACAGCAGTTTTTTATGGGCTTGAACACTAAGCAATGCCATATTCATCCAGCTTGCTCTTCACTGTGGCTTGATACTTTTAAAGGATCCTTAAGTTTTCAAGTGTCACTTTCTAATTGGTTTTGGAAATTGCTCATTAACTACATCTAAGCTATTAAAGCCTTTTGGAATGAAAAATTTGAAAATGATGGGTGTGCCTTCCTTTAATCCTGAACGAATGAAAAAAAAGTAATAATTATATACTTAAAAATATAAAGAATCTGAAATAAACAGCAAAAAAGTAAACAAGATTTTGATTTTAGAAAGTTATAATACACCATGAGTCCAGAAAAAAAATGGAATATTAAACCTTTTACAACAATAACAATTTGGAATTAATTATAAAGTACAAAAAGCTTCTTGTGGGAAATAGTTTCTGTTTTGGATTTGATAGGATACAACATAGATAAACAATTTCATGCTTTCAAAAAGTGGACACTAGAGGGAACTATAGATTTTAGGTAGAGAAACATGTACCGGCCTGCAAGATGGTTAATACTGTACAATAAAAATATTGAAGATTTGAGCAATGGAATCAGAAAATAACCACAATATCAACGTCATGTGTGATTTATTTTTTTTATGGATAGACTGTGTCCAAAATACATTATTGAAGAAATGTGAAATGTAGAACAAATTTTATCTGACAAGATAGAGATGGTATTGAAAATGGATTTACAACTGTCAGGCTAAGAGAATGATTTAGAAAAGCATTAATTCATTTGTTCATTCATTCATTGTTTTAGGCAAGCACGAGACTATTTATTCCATAACTGCTACTGGATTCTTGCTTGTAGTTCCTTAAGTACAAATTATTTTATCCCACCAGATTGCAGAGATAATTGAAATTTAGGCTAAATAGTAGCTGTAAAAGATATGTGAGCATCTTAAGATGTTACACCAGACGGTACAATCTGAAAGACATGGAAAAGAATGCAGTACTCACTTCCACTCACTTTTATTTCAATGCAAGTAACCTTGCAAAACAGTTAAGAGAAGGATCAAATCCTTGTTTGGTTTTCTACAAATTTTGGTTGGTCTATAAACTAATTTTTTCTTCTGGTTAGAAAAAAGGAAATCAATTCTCTAAACCTTTGAACTACATTATCATTACTGCCATTGCTTCCAATAAACAAGCTTTTGACATAATTACTTATTCAATATTAGGCTTAATGTGGAAACTATGATGAGGTACAAGATGGCATGGTAGTGCAACAGTTGGCTTTTATTAATTATGATATATAAAATATTTTTAAAAAAATTATCTTGAATCATGAAAGATTCTAAGGAAAATCTTGCTGTAAAATATTCCTGATCACTCCACTGAGAATTTAACCTGTTATTCCACTGATTATTATTCCCTAACCCTAACCCTTTTCAACTTTTACCTAATGGCCTGGCCAGTGACCAGAACCATGATCATTGATAGAAACAGCAGAGAATTCTCAATCTATGTTTTAACCATGCATAAGGAGAACACAGACAATTTCAATATGATATATATTTATGAAGAGGTTCTTTATTAATTAATATAAAAATATTCTAAACATGTTAACTTAAAAATCAGTCTTATACTGTTTAGTTTGCTTTCTTGGCATAATATCAGGTGATCATTTGCTAAGTTTAACCAGTCTTGGGAGTTAGTGGCAGGTGGTTGTAGCAGAGAGACTTAATGGTTAAATTATTGTGGCAGGACTGGTTACCTGGACAACAGTAGGTTCAACACAAAAGGAGAAGTAGTTGTCTCACTAGGAAAATACAAGGATGCAATTCTCAGCAGGAACTGGAGAACAAAGAGAATGTAGAAGCCAACTGGCAGCCATTTGACCTCAGGCAAGGTTGAATGAAAGAGAGTTTTTTTTTAATAGATCTTGATGACAGTCCAGAAGCAAAAGCATCTGGATGGTGCAGTTTAACTCCTTTTCATTTAGATCTTAGGTCTAGTGGACATCCCTAGAGCATCATCTGGAACACACCTTGTTGTATTCAGATCTAGTCCATATATGCAGCTCCCCCTCTGTACTTTGTTGAATGCAGTTCCATAAAAACTTTCTTGTGGTCCAAAATCATTATATATGTAGAATCAGATGGCTTATTGAAGTCAAAAAGTCTTTTCAAGAAAGTTAAGTCTGCAGGCAATTCAGTTATTATTTAAAAATCTTGTGGATTACAATATTGTAACCTGGACTCAAGTATCATTCTATGATGCAACTGAAGAGCTGCTGAGTTTATAACACAAAGTATATATTTATCCTGTTGTGGAGTTCCCCACCCACAGCATCCACTAGTAAAGATGGAAAAGTTCAGAATGTGATGTATGGTGGATTGACATTTGAAATGAGACACAGGGAACTGTCTCTGAG